CTACTGGGTGTATGAGACAAAACAGTCTCTCAAGTAACCTGGTCCTTAGCTCTATAGGGCTGTATATGTTAGTACAAACACCTTGGGTTTGGCCCAGGAACAGGTTGGCAGCCAGGGCAAATCCCACGGGGAGGGTGTTACGTTCTGACCTCACCTGGAGTACTGTGTCCAGTTCTGGGCACCACAGTTCAAGAAGGACACTGACAAACTGGAACGTGTCCAGAGGAGGGCAACCAAAATGGTCAAAGGCCTGGGAACGATGCCTTATGAGGAACGGCTAAGGGAGCTGGGCATGTTTAGCCTGGAGAAGAGGAGGTTAAGGGGTGATATGATAGCCATGTTCAAATATATAAAAGGATGTCATATAGAGGAGGGAGAAAGGTTGTTTTCTGCTGCTCCAGAGAAGCGGACACGGAGCAATGGATCCAAACTACAAGAAAGAAGATTCCACCTAAACATTAGGAAGAACTTCCTGACAGTAAGAGCTGTTTGACAGTGGAATTTGCTGCCAAGGAGTGTGGTGGAGTCTCCTTCTTTGGAGGTCTTTAAGCAGAGGCTTGACAACCATATGTCAGGAGTGCTCTGATGGTGTTTCCTGCTTGGCAGGGGGTTGGACTCGATGGCCCTTGTGGTCTATTCCAACTCTATGATTCTATGATTCTAGTTCCCCCTCCCCACAAGCAAGCTAGCAGCCACATTCTGCACCAACCCTCTGCCCTTGCCGGTTTTACTTTGCTTTTGCCACTGTGTTTATAGTTCTAGATTTTTATGTTCCGTTTGCAACCTTTTATGGTTCTGCAATTGACTGTAAACCACCCGAACTTTTTGTCCTTGGGCAGTGCACAAATATTGTCAGTAAATCAATAGCTGCTCCCTCCCTTCAGAGGACCTGCTGCCTGCCAACTCCCAGAAAAAGCAAGACTGCTTCCATCACGGGCTGCGTGAGGTCCAGCTGCTCAGCTCCAAGATTTTGGCAGGGGCAGAGATGAAACTTAGCAGAGCAGATGCTGAGCACACAAAAAAGTCCTGGTTCAATACCTAGTGATTCCAGGTAATGGCAGAAGAGACCCATGCTGGAAACAGTGGAGAGCAGACGCCAGTCAGGGTTAAAAATAGTAAGCTATATAGACCAATGGTCTGGCTCAGTCTAAGGCAGCTTCCCACATTCCTGTTGGATGCTGTGGCATGAGGACTTGAAGTATCTTGGCTCTCTATTCACACCACGCAATGCAATTTCTGACCATTTTAGATTGCATGTGTGATTTTCAAGACTCTTTGCAAACTGCTTTGGCAGCCCCTTGGGCTCCTATGTTGGGCTCTAAATGCTCCTATGTTGAACTCCCTGCCCCAAAGTTTTAGGTATTATCCCCTCTATTTGTGTCTTGCTGGCATTTGGAGACATTTCAACTCTGTCGTTGCTGAACTTTTTTAAAAAAAAATAAATTATTTTATTAACGTATAAAACACATACATATACATTTACACAATACACGTACACAACACACTACCTTATCTTCATAACATAAAACATATCTACATTACTCTATATTACCTATACCATACATAAAGAAGGCTGATCACCGAAGAATTGATGCTTTTGAATTATGGTGCTGTGGGAGACTCTTGAGAGTCCCATGGACTGCAAGAAGATCAAACCTCTCCATTCTTAAGGAAATCAGCCCTGAGTGCTCACTGGAAGGACAGATCCTGAAGCTGAGGCTCCAATACTTTGGCCACCTCATGAGAAGAGAAGACTCCCTGGAAAAGACCCTGATGTTGGGAAAGATGGAGGGCACAAGGAGAAGGGGACGACAGAGGACGAGATGGTTGGACAGTGTTTTCGAAGCTACCAGCATGAGTTTGACCAAACTGCGGGAGGCAGTGGAAGACAGAAGTGCCTGGCGTGCTCTGGTCCATGGGGTCACGAAGAGTCGGACATGACTAAACGACTAAACAACAACATACTATACATATCAACATACTTACACACCTACCCCACACGGACACGGGAAAATATCTGTCGTTGCTGAACTTCATGAACTGATTAGTAATAGTACTACTCTATTCTGCCTTGGTAAGACCACACCTGGAATATGGTGTCTCCAATTCTGGGTGCCACAATTTAAGAAGGATCTTGACAAACTGGAACGTGTGCAGAGGAGGGGAAAAAGCAAGATATACATTTTTGTAACAAAGAAATCAATAAATGTGAAGGGAGAAGAAACGCCATGGTGCATCTGCAGCAGCAAAACTGGGCGCCTTCATCTGCCCCAGTTGCAATAAAATATGTCTCTCCTGTATCGGTCTCTACAGCCACAGCAGGCGCTGTAACTCTCCAATGGTTTGGAGCACTCCTCCACTGTCTCCTGAGACAGACAGATGCCAATGAATGAGTGCACATGTGGGCATTAGGCTACTCTGGGCAAGTGTGGCTGAGTCCAGGACCTACTGAGCCCTCAACTTACTTCTAGGGTGGCCCCCCTTTATATACAGAGGGCAGCGCTCTATTGAAAGAAATGTCTGAGGTCAACAACACCTCAGAGCACAATCATGGGAGGGGTTTTCCCGCTCTCTCTGCCGCTGCTTTTGGAAGCCTTGTGAGTTGCTGCAGGAGAGGGACTGGGAGCAACATCATGAGAGGGGTGTTTCCAGGGTTCGAAATTAGCAGGGCGCCAGACGCATTTTGCGCCTCGAGATTCTCCATTTGCAAGCACCTCAAAAAGCCTGGCGCCATTTTTTGCGCCTGGCTGACACTCAAGGATTACTGAAACGTATGAGCTTTGAAGCCTCAAGGTATAAGCTAGGCTAGACAATATGTTAAACAGTTTAATAATAGAGTGCTTTGAAAACTCAAGTATGGTACCAATATTTTTACTGAAAACACCAAATTAAACATGTATCAACAATTTCTACTAAAAGTGTGATATTAACAATGTGTCACTTCTTGTGAATTGCGTTCATGCTCATCAAAATAATAAATGAAAATTGTGGCCCACCACCCCACCCCAGTCTAGACATTCTAGACATAGACATTCTATTTTGGCACCCATAACCCTGGTCCCAGAAGCCATTTGGCTCCTAGCTTTTCTATCCCAGTTTCTAACACTGGCTGTTTCTAGGACCAAGGTGATACCGTCCAGCTGTTTTGCTGTTACCAGGAGGTGCAATGTTGTGAGTGTAATCTTGCTGTATTTATAGTACCGAAATGTTTTCTTGCATGTTGCTATTTTCACGATCATGTTCCTGTTTTATTATGTTATTACGAAACTCCTCTTGCAACCGTTGGTTTTGAGGCGTATTCCTTTTTTTCTTTGCTGTAAACTGCTTAGAGCATGTTCCTTTTTGTGGACAGGAGACATGCAAATACTATAATCATGATGTTGATGATGTCGGCCCTCTCATTTCATGGGCCTTCAGAAGATGCAATGGTACCCACTGCTAGGCCTGGCCAAAGGTGTATTGCAGTAGCACAACCACCAAAAAGATACAGGGGTCAAAAATAATAATAAGAACAATAAATGAGTCCCCAAACCCTTGTTTGGGTTAAAGATGGGCCCGGTGTCTGAACAGTATAACGACTACGGGTCTATTTCAAGTAGTCCACATCCAGTTTAAAGATTTTATTTTCAAGAAACTGTAGAGAGGCCATCTTTGTTGCAAGTCCATGCAACGTCTTTTGTTTTGTAGCTGTGTGATTTGTGCTCATCCTGTATTGCGATGGCCACTGGCTATAAACAATAAAATTGATTGACTGACTGATACAAGACCTGCTCCCTGCCTTGCTAGCCTGTTTCCACCAGGCCTGGGAGGGCCCTGACTGACTCCAGCTACAAAATGCTGCAGAAGCTAGCGGTCATCCTTGTTGTGAGGCCTGCAGGACCTGCTAGAGGATGCTTACAGACGCTTGGGGGGGATGTTGTTTAAGGGTTTAATGTTGGGGGTCAAGATTTAATTTTCAAGGAGCTTACTTTCTGCTGCTCTTGGTATTACATTTTTTTCAAAAAATAAAATAAAATAGTGCCAGACTTTTTTTTTACGTTGGGCCTGTTTCATTTTATTGTATACTTCTTGATACGCTTTTCTCTATTGCTTATGACCACTTGTTATATTTCTGTAATGATGAGAAAATGTGAGTTAGCAGCTTATACAGTGGACCCTCAGGTAGCGAACGTGATCCGTGCAGGATTCACGTTTGCAACCCACAGAGTTCGCAACCCACAGTGGCGCGTCTGCACACACGCGGGTTGCAATTCGGCGCTTCTGAGCATGTGCAAAGCGCAATTTAGAGCTTCTGCGCATGCGCGACCGCCGAAACACGGAAGTAACATGTTCTGGTACTTCCGGGTTTCGGTGGTCCGTAACCCGAAAAAACACAACCTGAAGCGTCTGTAACCCGAGGTATGACTGTACAATGGCATGGAGAAAGAGGAAAGAGAGTGGCTGGGGAAAACCAGCCAGATGGGCAGGGTATAAATAATAAATTTTATTATTATTATTATTATTATTATTATTATTATTATTATTATTATCCCTCCCTCATAACGCTAGAACTCATGGGCCGAATGATGGAAGATTTAGGACACCCAGCCATTATTATTTTTTTATTATTATTCCACCACCACCAGTCACAGGGATTCATACTTTTCCTCCCACAAGTTTTGACCCTGTTGCTCTTAATCAACAATGGCCGCTGTTCCTTAATGCACAACTTTTGCAACCACCGCCTCCTTCCTTCGCTCAGTCCGCAGAGAGCGGGAATCTTCGCAGAATTGCAGAGTTGGAAGGGACCCCGAGGGTCATCCAGCCCAACCCCCTGAGACGCTGGAAACTCAGCTAAAGCATCCGTGGCAGATGGCCAGCCAACCTCTGCTTTAAAAACCTTCAAGGAAGGGGAGTCCACAACCTCCCGAGGGTTGCGCGTTCGATCCCCACGTCGGACGAAAGATGCCTGCATCGCGCGGGGAGGGAGGTATGAGGGGGGGGCTGGACTAGATGACTCTCGAGGCCCCGCCCAAATGCTACGATTCCCTCCCCCTTGTTCGCGCTCGGCGCTGCAAGTGGCCAGGCTCTCCCTCTCCAGGCGGGGCGCGCCGGAGACAAAAGGCCAATGGCGCGCCACTCCGGGCTCCCCGCCCAGGCCCGCATCCGCCGCCCAGCCTCCTCCTAGCCCGTCACGTGGGAAGAGAGCCCCGCGGCTCCTCGCAGCAACAGGGGCAGGAGCAGAACCGCGTGGGGTCGGAAAGCAGCGCCTGCGATCGCCTCCTGTTCGTCGACCTTGTTCTCCTCGCTCTCTCTTCCCTCTCCACGAGGCCGCCATGAAGAAGCTGCTGGTGGCCACGCTGCTGCTCGTCTGCTTTGCCGCCCTGTCGGGTAAGTCGCCTTTTTACTTCTTCTCCGGGGGCGGGGAAGACCCCCCGCCGCGAGCGAGAGAAAAAGGGAAAGTTGCCTTTGCTCCTCTCCACGGATCAGGTCCGCTCGCGCGCGCGCGCGTCCTCCCACGCCCTCTGCTTTTCGGAAAGGGATGCGTCCGAAGGAGGTTTGCTCATTTCCCTCTCTGTTGCAAGCGGGAACTTGCACGGATTTTTGTAATGTTTCCTCCCGCCGCAGAGTCTGCTCAGCTCAAGAAGCCCCCGCTTTCTTAACCGTGAAAGTTATTTGGAGACCTCAGGGTATCTCTCGTGTGTGTGTGTGTGTGTGTGTGTTTGGATTGTGCGCGCCGTCGAGGTTGCACGGCCGGCCGCAGAAAAGGAAGTGCACGTGCTTTTATTTTAATTTTTGCACGGAGAAGGTCCCCGGTTCAGTTCCAGCACAGTTCCAAACCAAATCTCAGCTTAAAAAAAAAAAACGGAGGGAATAGCAGGTCTGGACGGTCCCCAAAACCCTGCCTGCCGTAATACAGTGCCAGAACAGATGGAGCAATGGGTCTTAGACGCTGTTTCATGTTTTCAGAGCAGATAGAACTGGGACGCCTTTCCCGTTCCGACATCCTTTATTGCACGGCAAAGGGACCTTCGTGTGAACGCAGCCAGAAATTGACCTACCACCAAGCAAGCAGTTTGCTTCTTCTTGGAAAATAGGTTTAGGGAGGATTGAGGTCACGGAGGTTTGTGTCCGTCTGTGTGGCTTTATTGCAGTTCCGTGAGTAACAAACAGCGTGGTCTTGTTGTTGCTACCAAAAGAAAGAGGGTCGTTTCATTTCTAGCCCTTGGGAGGCTCTTGGGGGATGAAGTGTAAACTGCAAGCACTTCACGATCCCTGCGAAATCATAGCAAAGGCCAGAGCATGTAAACAAAAGACTGACATGCTGAGGCAAAACATTGGTTTGGAAGTAAACCCTTCCAAGTAAGGCCTGCAGATCTTAAGACATGTTTGCTAAGATAAGAATCTCACCAATCAAAACTCTGTTCTCTCATTTATTTGCCAACAAAGGGCAAGTGTTGCTTTCTAGAGCAGCTTTTGCCCACCTGGTCCCCTCCAGATGTTTTTAACTAGAACTTCCATCAGGCTCCTCCAGCACAGCCTGGCTGATGAGAGCTGTGATTGAAAACATCTGGACTGAAGGGCACCAGGTTGCCAAAGGCTAGAATAGCTTGACCTACTAAATCTTAATGACAAGGTCTACTTTTAGGGGCAATAATTAGTATTAGCATTACAGTGGTACCTTGGGTTACATACGCTTCAGGTTATATACGCTTCAGGTTACAGACTCCGCTAACCCAGGAATATTACCTCGGGTTAAGAACTTTGCTTCAGGATGAGAACAGAAATCGTGCAGCGGCAGCAGGAGGCCCCATTAGCTAAAGTGGTGCTTCAGCTTAAGAACAGTTTCAGGTCCTCCGGAACAAATTAAGTACGTAACCAGAGGTACCACTGTATTTATGTAGGAAGCTCTACTTTTGCTTTTAGTCAACCATGGCTTCCTGCTTCATCCATGATTAACACCGGCCATGATTAGTTTAAAGCAGGCATAGTCAAACCTGGCCCTCCAGATGTTTTGGGACTACAAGTCCCATCATCTTTGACCACTGTTCCTGTTAGCTAGGGATGATGGGGGTTGTAGTCCCAAAACATCTGGAGGGCCAAGTTTGCCTATGCCTGGTTTAAAGAATCCAGCTTCATAAGCTATGATTTAAAATGGTCTTGTTTTGAAACCGACTGCTGTTAATTGTTAAACCAACTTTAAACCATAGATTGCGCAGCTGGCTTCCTTTAATGAGCCATAGGTATTGTTATCCATGGTTCCTGGTTTGGGCAAAACCAAAAGTTAATTTTTCAAAGTCTTTCTCCCAGATGCAGAAGAGGATGGAGGGGGGTACCAAACCTTGAGTTTGCTGCAGATCATGCATGTTGCAGTGTACCATGGTTTAAATTTAGCATGGCATGCTATGCATTTGTGTTGCACTCCCACTTGCATTGGAGGAAGAAGGCAAAGGTCCACTGCCTTCGTGTCTTTAGGGGAACTTGGAGGAACCGCAGTTGGTGCTCAGCACCCCAGTCGGTGACCCCACACCATCAGGGGGCATGTGCTGTAAAACCTGTCAGACTGATCCTGCCAACAAGTCTGAGTATCCACAAGGTCATTTGGTCCCCAGATTAGTGCCTGGAGGGTAGAAGAGCCCCTGAGAATATAGAAGTGTGTTGATGTATAAAAAACCCTTTAGAGGCTGCTCCTCATATATCTGGCCGGTATACAACAAAAATTACAAGAGAGATTGTTGGCATCCATCTGTCTCGAGAGAGAGAGAGAGTGGAGTGCGCCTCCGGGGGTGAAATTAAATGGCTGCATTAGCAGAGCGAAGGGACCTCTGGGGCACAAGCCTGGGCAGTGTGCATGGAGTTTCTGGGCTGCCCAGATGGCAAGACTCCTCTCTTGGCCTCACTGATGTGGTCCAAAGGAAAGCAGAGCAATACGTTCGGTACCAGCTTGGCTGGAGGAGTTGCCTGAAGGAGGCATACAAGGCACCCTCCAGCCACCTTAGGGACTCTGTACTCCAGATTTGCATAGGGTTTACTCCTTGACCTTTTCTTCCCCCGAAAATACCTCGCAGGGCAGCAGAGGTTGAGGATCAGAGTTTTCCTTCTCCTGGATGGGCTGCCTTCCCAGGTTGATGAGCCCCATCTGCCCCTCACTTCCCTCTACACAGCAAGTGCATAAACCACCTTCTTGGTATTGGTCTTGTCAGTTCAATCACCAGAGCCTGTCTTCGCATGCAGGGGAAGTCCCTCACCAAGGGTTTGAGACCAGTCGGCTACCCCTCACCTGGTTTAGCTAGCCAGTCAAGGCCGTTTCCGAGGTGTGGCCTCCGTTGCACCCTGACAGCTTCTGTGGGCCACAGGTGAGAGCTGAGTGCAGGGTAGGGGACCAAGGCTGGGCAAGCTACCCCAGAAGGAGCATGACATGCCCCCCACCACAGGTACAGGGGTACCTCGGGTTACATACGCTTCAGGTTACATACGCTTCAGGTTACAGACTCCGCTAACCCAGAAATAGTACCTCTGGTTAAGAACTTTGCTTCAGGATGAGAACAGAAATCGTGCTCCGGCGGCAGCGGGAGGCCCCATTAGCTAAAGTGGTGCTTCGGGTTAAGAACAGTTTCAGGTTAAGAACGGACCTCCGGAACGAATTAAGTACATAACCAGAGGTACCACTGTACTCCTCCTTTCCTAAAACCCTTCAAAAGAGATACAATTAAAGCATTAAAAGCAATGCAGGAATTTGCATAAAAATGGCTGGCTCATCTTGGAAGTTTAAGCTGCTGAACTAGCCTGTTGACATAAGAAAAATAAATCTTGAAGAGATGCCTGAAAATCAAAAGGTAGGGTACCTGACAGGTGTGTGCTGCAAAGGTGTTCCACAGCATGGAACCAGTAGCACTAAACGCTCAAGTTCTGGTTGAAGCCAAATGGGTTTCTGAAACACTGGGGGCAACTAACGTAGTTCCTCTGGATGATTTCAGTGAACTTGCTGCTATATAAGACTTGGATGGATCAGCCCCACACAGATGGAGCTGACGGAACAGCTGGCCTGACCTTGGAAAAGAGCTAGGTAGAAAATATTGTCTAAGAAGATAGTTCAAGATTACGTTATCTCTTTCTGGGTTGTAAATCCGTCTTCCTTGACCCTTGAGAAGCCCGAAGGGAAGTGTGCTAAATTTAATGTGCTGTGAAATATCTAGCAGCTGAGGGAGGTAGCACAGTTGCTCTGAAATAGATGTAGCATCTCAGGCAGCAGCCATTTGCAACCAAGTGAAGATAGCTGGGTGTCAGGATAGTGCATGGCATCTCTACCATCTGGAGGTACGTGCCTGGGGATCCTTGAATCTGGAGTAGCAACACATCCTGTAGAATTCTAACAGCGGTAGTTTATCTGCACAATCGGAATTAATTACAGGAACCAAAAAGTCCTATTGAAAAATACAACTTTCAAGCTGTCTGGCCCCAAAATGGCAACTAGGCATTCTGTTTTGGCGACAGCAACCCTGGTTGAAGGAGCCATTTGGCGCCTAGTTTTTATATCTGAGTTTCTAACACTGACTCAGGATTCATTTCAGATGTGATTTCAGAACCACTGGCAAAATCAGATGTGATTTCAGAACCACTGGCAGTCATCTTTGAGAATTCCTGGAGAACAGGCGAAGTCCCGGCAGACTGGAGGAGGGCAAATGTTGTCCCTATTTTCAAAAAGGGGAAAAGAGAGGACCCAAATAATTACCGCCCAGTCAGTCTGACATCAATACCAGGGAAGATTCTGGAGCAGATCATTAAGCAAACAGTCTGTGAGCACCTAGAAAGGAATGCTGTGATCACCAATAGTCAGCATGGATTTCTGAAAAATAAGTCATGTCAGACTAACCTGATCTCGTTTTTTGACAGAATTACAAGCCTGGTAGATGAAGGGAACGCAGTGGATGTAGTCTACCTTGATTTCAGCAAGGCATTTGACAAGGTGCCCCATGATATTCTTGTAAAGAAGCTGGTAAAATGCGGTCTTGACTATGCTACCACTCAGTGGATTTGTAACTGGCTGACTGACCGAACCCAAAGGGTGCTCATCAATGGTTCCTCTTCATCCTGGAGAAGAGTGACTAGTGGGGTGCCACAGGGTTCTGTCTTGGGCCCGGTCTTATTCAACATCTTTATCAACGACTTGGATGATGGACTCAAGGGCATCCTGATCAAATTTGCAGATGACACCAAACTGGGAGGGGTGGCTAACACCCCAGAGGACAGGATCACACTTCAAAACGACCTTGACAGATTAGAGAACTGGGCCAAAACAAACAAGATGAATTTTAACAGGGAGAAATGTAAAGTATTGCACTTGGGCAAAAAAAATGAGAGGCACAAATACAAGATGGGTGACACCTGGC